TCGAAAGACATAAACAGTTCATGTAACACATAATTGAATATAATGTTTTTTTACTGAATTTTTTTTCGTAATAAAATATATAAAAACTAAATGATTTTATTCTTACTATAAATAAGTAAAAGAACAGATAAAATTTATATATGAATACTAAGTAGTGACATCTTATTATAATAAAAGGATTTCGTACGAAATTTCTTCCAATCAAATAAATATGAAACGAAAAAACAAGACAAACAATACAGTTCGTTCTAATTTGAAGTAAATCTAGTTGATTCAAAATGAATAATTCATCATTTCAAATATGTACGATATGTGTTGAAGAAAATATTGTTAAACCAAAATTAGGTATACATCCATGTCATGGATGCCAATTTTCATTTTGTTTAATACATTTAACAAAACATCGACAAGAACTTTTACAAAAACTTGATTCAATTATAATGCAAAGAGATGAAATATTTGAAACTATATTTAATAATTTAAATATCAGTAATGATAACATTAAAAAATCATTGAAAGATAATGATGAATGGGAAACAAAGATGCATGAAGAAGTGTAAGTATATAAAATTCATTTTATATATTTAGATGAAAATAGATATACTTTATAACAAAGTAACGCTCGTTTGGAAACTGGCTCAGCTCTTTCTCGTAGAAACGATGTGCCTTAACTATCAGTAAACTATTTATTTAAACAATTTCGAAAAACAACAGAAGACTCGAGTTCCTCGACCCGCATTATCCTTCGGTCAGTCCTTATAAAAAAAGTAGTCCTTCGTGTACAAAAATTCTAAAAAACTAACATCAGATTCGAGTTCCTCGATCTCGATTATTCTTTAGTCGAACTTTTTACGAAAGAATCCATTTTATTTTTTGAGCAATCATCGAAGTGCGGACACACAATTAAGCAATCAGACAATTTATGTTTACTGGACTCTTCTCTACGAAAATAGATAAAAAAAATAAACTCAATTTTATTTTGCAGTTTGTCTAACCCTTTCAAGAGCGATATGTAATACTAGTTTCTGCAAGCTCCCATAACTATAATAAATTAGGAATAGTGACTCTGATAGAAAGAACGATAAATCGCCCGTGAAAGAGTTAACAGGAACAAACATAAGTTAGATACAATCTGGCTTGCAAGCATCTAAACTGCGACTACGCCTATTATCGAATCCGATATTGAACATAACCTTAGTCTGGACGGTGTAGTCTATTGAATGTAAAAATCTTAATCTGTAAGTTCAATCTACATTTGTTTTTTTTTGATAGACATGAAATTGCTGAACAAAATCGTGATAGAATTCGATTAGAATATAGCAAACAATTCAATGAACTAAAAGATCGATATGCTCTATTTACTAAAGAATTAATAGATAAACGTGATAATGATGATTTTTTTGAATATGATATTGAACAATTATCTATTAAATTAGAACAATTTAAACAAGAAGTATATGAAATTAATATTAATCTTCAATTAAATCATTTAGATTGGTCTCGATTAATTCATATTAATGAACAAGAAGACTCACCGATATCCTCCTATTTAAATAATTCAAAATTATTATTTGAACGACAAGTAATTTCATTACATGATCGAAATTGTTTTTTTCTTGCTGCATCTAATACATATATCTTAGCTTATATATTAAGTATTAATCGAAATGAAAATCGTCTTGTACTTTATAGTACATTAAATGGAAATGAACTTTGTTCAACTGAACTTGATATTCGACTTGGTAATGTTTGTGATATGATTTATGTTGATAAACTCAATCATTGTTTTCTTGTTGTATGTAGACAAGCAATTCTTATTTATGAACCCGAACAAATGGTTTTAACAAATCTATCTGATATAAAACCAATTGATGAACATCCATTTTGGTCAATTGCAATATCATATGATACAAATGATGCTTTTATTAGTTTAGATAGTAATGGTTATATTGAACGATGGTCAATAGAAACTCATCCGAATTGGGTATTAATTAAACGTTGGAATATAAATGAAATTTTACAAAATATTGATCAAGGTATTCGAATGATTCGAATATGTGAAACGAAAAATCAATTAGCAATTGTTATACTTCAACAAAATCGATATTGGCGTATTGATTTATATGATTTTAATTTAAAATTAATTCGTTATGGTCGAGAATTAATACTTTCAAATGATATTGATAAATTTAGTTTTGGTTGTCGTCTTATAATTTTACCAGATAATGAAACATGGTTATTAACAGAACGAACAACTCATTCATTATGGTATGCCAATGATTTAACAGTAAAACAAATTGATAAACATGTTCATAGTGCATGTTTAATCATTAATAATAATAATCAACAACGAAAAATTGTTGTTAGTTACAGTAACGATCCGAAACGAATTGAAATATTTAATCTCTAAATTTTCATATCTATAGATCTGAATTTTGCTTAATATTTTTTCTAGATGATAAAAGATTGATCAATGAAGCGTTTGTCTTCACTCTTAGATCAAACATCAATAAATAATGATGATAATAAAATATATCAAGAATCTGATGCAAAAAGATTTCAACAATCAACGTTTTCTTCCACATATGATTATGAAGAAAAAAATATTCGATATGAACGACCAACGACGACAACAGATCAACGCGTTGTACGGCAAGATTTGCTCTGCTTTTTGCTTGGTATTTTTTTTTTCTTTGTAACATGAGAAAATCAGAAAACGTGAGGACCATGTCTGAAGTGAATTGATCCCTACAATAGTGGCGCAACCAAGGGCAGGCATGACTGGGCACTGCTCAACCACTGCTTATTTTTTGAGGGTGTGGGCGCGGGTGTAGATGTGGTCTCTGAAGAAAATAATACCCACACCCACACTCTCAAAATACCCTTTGGAAAAATTCTCAGGACGCCGCCCAACCACCCGTCATATCCTGGTTACGCAACTACCCTACAAGTCTAGGATCGAGATTTCAATTGTAAGATAATTCTCTGTATATATAGATCAAGTCCGTAGCTATATAAGACAATCGTCATACTTAAAAAAAATTAAATTTTATCAGTAATTGATGCTTAGCGCTTATTATGAAAAAAAAACATATTAAAATTTATTTATAGGGAAACAAAACTTCACAA